TATGAGAAAATGACCATAAGTCCTATCTCAGTAAACATTTTTCAGATGAGTTTTTAGCCTCAGCTGCTATTTTTAAGTCTAACTTCAACACAGCATGCTGAGTATTTCATAAATAGTCATCCCATTTAGAGTAAAATAGATGATAAAGCAGGATATGCTTTAGGATAGGGCTCGCTACCACATAGGTGTTTGCAGTTTCCTCTAGTTCTTTGTCAGATCCACCCCTCAGTCTTCACATCCAGTTTTCAAAAAAACAAAATGGTGACAGCCAAATTCAAAACTTGAGGCTCTGAAACGGTTGTCCACAAACAAATGGGTGACGACACGATGGCTACGTCCATGAGCGCAACAGTGCGTAAACATAGAATTGACATACTGTCACCCTGAAAAGTTGATATGAGAAAAGTGTTAACAAGCAATTGTTTAACGACACAACAAGCACACACGGAGAAACATTAGCATCTTTTTAGAGTAGAGATCAGCAACTGGAGCTACACCCAGCACACAACCACAACAGTTATTTTTTATCTGTTGGAAAGCCTTTTTAAAGTAAACGTATAACTTTGTCTTGAAAGAGGAAGCAAGAGAAAATGTTGAATCAGTCTTGAGTCTGATCTAAAATTCAGCAGTAACCAGTGGGTTAACTTAGGTTGGGTCTTTCAGGTATAGGTTTGAGTCAGGTTCAAGTTTTAGTTCTAGGGATGTACCCAACTCTAGTTTAAAGATGTTTGTGTCCCAATAAATAGTCCTACTTTGCTCTACTGCTTCCTACTGTCCCTCTACATCGTGAAATACCGTAAATACGAGGTCTGTATAACACATTATGCCACTGTGGTCATTAGCTATATGCACAGTCTGTTTGTCTGGTGCATGGTGCTATTCAGTTGGCATTCAGTCAGATTTATTAGGACCTTTTATATTGAAAACTGTACTAGATGCTGATGAGAGCAGTAAGCAGCAAACAGTAGAAAAGCAGGAGAACAACAAGCTAAATTACACTAAGAAGGTCAGAAAAGCTGACGGAACCTGTGGTTGTGTTTCTATGAGCATGGACAGATTTTGAGACAATGAGCCACTGGGCAGACAAGCATTGAAGGCAAGACACTGAAAGCAGGAGCGTCATTTGTGGTCATTTGCAGTTGCGATTGTAGGTCATGTTTAGTCTTTTTGTGGTCGCTTTGTGCCTCTGTGTAGTCCTTTGACTTTCCAACAAGAAATACTAACATCCCCTGGACCTCTGCACGGCAGACCTGTAGAATAATCCTTCCACGTTTATGAGCGACAACTTTCGCCATAAATGACACAGTTATTTGATCCATTAATATAAAACTTTTATTGGATCAGCTTTAAGTAAAACACAATACAAGCTGAAGGGCTCCAAAGTACAACACTGGATGAAAGAACAAGCAAAGCAAAGTCAGGGAAACCTCATTCTGACTTCATCGGTTTCATCATTTACAACTTCGCACCCCCATTACTTGTCTCACTGGCTACTAATCTTAAAAGTCATTGTAGTATGATGTCATCATGTCGGGGAGGCCAAAGCGGTGACAGGCAGCCGACCGGCCGGCGAGTCTAAGCCTGACAGGCTGTTTTTCATTAGTCCTGCAGTTCCACACAACAGTAGAGTGAATCATAGCAGAGAGATGACAGTCGCCCTGCCTGCAGACTAATAAATGGCGTTGTGCAATGTCTTACCAGTTGCTGTACGTCTGTTAAACACATCCAAGTACAAAATGAAAAAGCTGCTGAAGCAGATGCCATCATCTACGAGTATATTTAATGTGCAAAGTCTTCCAAACTGACACATATTTATACTCTTTGAGCTGGCTTGCAAAGAGGCAAACCTGCTTTCTTCCCCATTTTCAGAAGTGCTTTGTCTGTTGTGATGCAGCAACAGAGTGAGCTGTTAAAACTTTCTATTTTTTCTGATGTTTTCTTTCCTAGTCATCGACGAGGAACTTGGGAAATAAGCAGTCTCCCTCCAAATTTATGAGCCGACTGACACACTGTGTATTTTTGGACATGGAAGGACAATGGGAAATCTGGGTTAACTTGTTCACCCACAGGACAGTTGACTGGTTCTTTTGAGGCCGCAGTTTGTTTCTCAGCAGGAGTCCTACCCTCTGCCAGCGTGTTTTTATGAAAAGCAAACAGCTGGAAGCCCTGTTGGGTTTGGACGCCCGTGGACACTGTCCCCGAGGACCCGGTTCAAGGCCTTCATTTCTTGTACTTACAGAAAGGATCACAGAAGACTTGGCCAGTCTTCCAACATGAACTGACCGTATACAGGACACTGGACGTGTCTTACAGTTCGGAGCCTTAATCTAATTCCTCCTTCCTGTGATTTCCACAGGCTAAAGTCTTTCATTATTCTGTTTTTTTACCCTGAGGCCAGTGTAGCTATGCATTACTTCAACCACACAGGATATGATCGTTGTAGACTGTGTGTTTACTATGCATTGTATTTCTATGGACAGAGATAGCATGCATGGGACAAGAAAGAGTGCAGACACACGCAACAGTTTCAGCTTTAACAATAGGTTTTGTTTGGCTTCTTTACCGGTGACATCAGTTGTTGCTTTTTAAGGCAGCAAAGCCTGCCGGTTCGTGCTCAGACAAGAAACCAGCTTCGTTTGTCCCACACCTCCATCCGATCTATTTTTCTTTCCCATACAAGTATAGGATTTCTTTAACCTCTTCCTTTCTTCTTTTTCACCCCTTCTTTCCTCTCTATACCTCCATGCCTTCCCTTTTCAACAATCCCACCCACTTAAACAATTTAAACGTTATTTTTCTTGCTTATTATATTTTATTGCTATTGGACCACTTCCCACCGAAACCAAGCCATCTACTGACCTGCGTCTTTTTGTCAGCTCCACGTGTTTTCTTTCTGGGTGAGACATTTTTATAAGACCTCTAGGGTTCCTTTTGTTTCACACACACTGGACTTCCTCTCTTTTCCTTTTCAGAAATAATTTGGAGGCTGCAAGTAAACTAAACCTAACAGTTAAATCTCCCCCTCTCTCATTACAGCTCTTTCAACACCACAAGAGTAGTTGACACCCATCCACCCTCCTAACGGCTGCACCCCTCTCTACTTTTATGCCAGCACGGAGGTGAAAATCTGAGCTTTAGTCACAGTGTGATGACTGACGACAAACACTGAATGCATATTAATGGCAGGTGGAAACTTGAGGATCTCTGTTTTGTGAGATCTCTTGCTGTAGGGGAGTATGCTTTTAATCCAAATAATCAGGTTATCATTCATAGATTTAAGAGGGCTTGCAGCATACAGTGGTGGTACCAGTTCACTTTTTGGGGGGTTTAAAAGAACTGATGTCTGTTAAATAAAACCAGATGACTTGTGCCAGACAGAAAATACCACAAATTTTGCTCTTTACCAACCCAGTCTCCAAAAGATTATGTTTCTATGCAACTAAATTAAATTCTGCATTTTGAATTCTCCAAGCTAGATAACAGTATGGCACAGGAGGAGGAATTTCCACTGAAAGGGAGCTACAACGACCATCTTAAGAGGTTGGAGGAGGGGTTTTAGAATCAAGTTTCATTTGAACTCACTGGTTACTTTTGTTTTCACTTGCTGTTTGGTTAGGTTTAGGTACCCAGGTGATGAATCCCGCCTCATGTAATACATAAGGGTACTTCACGAGGCTCTTGGTCGCAGCTAAAAATGCCACGGAAGAAAGATTGTTGTGGCATTATATTTCGATGTAGTGTCCTTTAACTTCATGCACTTGGTCCACTGATGTTAAAGCTTCACTATTCCTTCGCAACAACTTCAGTTTGGAGAACCGACAGAAGTGAGATGGTGCAGGTCGGGTCAGTAAGGTGCTTGTGGCAACAGTTCGAAGCCACATTTGGCTTCTTCTGCCACCTGATGCTGTGTGGATGGACACGTTGTCATGGAACCAATCAGCTCAAAGCTTTACTCTTCTCTTTTCCTTGATTTCTTTAAACATTTGAGTTTTTGTGGACACTGATATAAGACTTTCTAGTATACAGTTATGCCCCAAAGTGGGAGTTACGCCCCTTGTTTCTGGGTGAGGCTGAAAACATTTTGAAGTACCCTCTTATGATTGTTTGGCAGAAAAGGTACAAAACTCAGAAAGCAATGCATGAAGAGGCAAGGATGTGCTGAGTAGAAACAAATGCACATCTTGGAGAAAATATGTTTACCTCAAAATATGATTGCAATTTATTTCTAGGAACGTAAAGTTTGTAGATTTAAAATAGGAAAGCAGCCTCACTGTTTGTCATGATTAATCATTTTCACACAATACATTTCTGAATTTTATGGTTATGCCAAGACTACGGCCACGCTACCAATGCGTTGAGCCAAATGCTAACATGCTAACAGTGGCAATACCAAAATGCCTGTGTTTAGCAGTATAATGATATAATGTTCACTGCCTTATTTAGCATGTTAGCCTGCTAATATTTATATTCCAATGCAGCTGAGACTGATTGCAGTGTCGTTAATTTTGCAAGTATTTTGCCAGCGCAAACTAAGGGGCTGAAAAACGAAGCTGACACATAAGTGGCAATGACTGCAGTTCCTCAAATGGCCACCTGGGGTTGGGTCCATAAGTAAGTGAGTTGTTTCCAGTTGCGGAAACACTGGCCTTAAACTCTCCATTTTTGCAGCAGAAATAAACATGTTTACAGCCTGGAACAAAAAATGGTTTTGGTCTCGATAGCTAATTTCCTTGTTCGTAATTTCCTTGACTGGATTTGTGGTGAATTTTTAGTATGACACACCCGTTTAAATTGCTTAAAGGGCTTAAAGTTATGCATAAACGTCCCAAAGTCAGTAGGCTTTTCCTCTGAGGACCATGAACTTTGTACAGCAATTTAAGGAAAATTTATCCACTGGTTTGGAGTTATTTCAACCAGAACCAACGTCATCAACCAACCAACATCTCCATCCAAAAAGCCACCCTGCTAGTGCGGCCAAAAACCACTTCTCTGGCCACTGCTGCTCACATCCACCTTCATATTTATTTCACTTATTGATACACACTGTACAGCTGAAATGTACAAAATGAACACGAGCAGAAATGCTGGAATGTTGATGAATGCAGAGGTCAGTGGTGGGCAGAGAGGAGGGGAAAAGGGAGAGGAAGGGAGCACAGAGGCACAATTCACACACATGGTTCTAGTTAGCGGACTCCCATTAAGGACAATGTGGTCTGGAAGAAACTTTACATTTCACAGTCTCAGGGCATTTTTAAGACGCTTCTACCCACCACCAAAAGGTCACTTTCAGTCACTTCGTTTCATATGAAACACACTGTGCAAGTGAAATGAACATTAGAGAGCAACAATGGAAAATTGGAATGCTACCAAATGCAGAGGTCAACAGTGGTTTACATTGTAATATAATATACAGTCAGGGGAACAAAACATGTCCAAGTCTATAATCACCAGCTTGCTGTAAGAATTTGTTGTACATTTCTAGTAATAGCTAGAAATCCTTGTCCTGACTGTGTATTTTTGTTAGTATTTATTGACACAAGATGTCCTCGAGTGGCCGATTTTGTGTACAATCGCACAACTTTTCGACAGTCTCTTTCACCACACTAGTCCCATTTTATACATATATATATTTCTAAAATAGAAGCTATGATCAGCTGTAACTAGCTAATCATATTTGCCACATAGCTTCTTAGAAAGTGGTTACACAACGCAAATGCCACCCACACTTTTTTTTTGTACCTACATGTGTTTTAGTCCATTCACTGTACTTAAGTGAATTTAACTACCGTCTCAAACTACATGTTAGATGAATAGCTGGTTTGGCTAATGTTTGACAACTGCAAATGAGGCAAAAAGCCACTTTGAGATGAATTGCAGAAGATATTTAGCAATAAAGTCAGACTCCATCTGCATGGATAACTCCACATAAGATAGCAGAAGTCTTGGGGGAAGGGAGGGATCCGGTGCCTTTGTGTCTGGGTTTCAAGTTCGCTGTTTAAAAAAGCTCTCCTTTGCTTTTCCGTGCCTTAGTCCAGAGGATCATTAAATGGAAAAAGAGTCCAAAGTACTTTCACACTCCGATTCCTGGAAAGTGAGAAAGCTAGGAGACCGTAGCGTAGGTATGCAGGATTACGGCCAGTATTGCCTCTGGTTCTTATCTCCAACAACGAAATCACCTTAAGATTAGAAGTAAACTGTGACTGACATTAATGGGAAACAGCCCAAACACAGGTCTCAGTCTGTCTCCGTTCATAGATCAGGTGTCACAATTGTTTGCAGCTTTTTGGATTTACAGTGTGTGCCTTTGTGAGCGAGCCTGTGACTGTGTTTAGCCTTCGTGTAACTCCACCCTTGTATGTATGTATGTATGTATGTATGTATGTATGTATGTATATGTAAGTGTGTGTGTTGCTAACAGCCTGTTAAGTTGACGTTGGCACCAGATGAAAGGACTCGCATGGTCTCACATACTTGCCTGTGGGGGGGGAGGTCGGGGGGCTAATTGCTGCTTTAGCATCAACTCTGTGGAGCTGTGGTCATTATAAACTGCAGCCCGACACACAAAAACAGACTGAGCACAGATGCTGTGAGGCAGATAATGCTGGGAACACACTCGAAGTAAATCACATTTGATAATGCATCGGCTCACATTCATAACAACGGACATCTCTAATTTACTTTGTCTCTCTTTCATAAATCTGCTTTCTTTATGATGGGGTTTCCCACAATTCGAGTTAAAGCGGCTTAAGAAATATCAAAAACAAAAGGCCATCACAGGAACACATTGCATGAGGCGTGCTACAAAAAATGACATTTTGCTGCTAACATACAACCCTTATGTATTTCAGTTTAACAGAATTCTGTAGAATAATTTGTATTCATTAGTTTGAAATAGAAGTTCAACATTTTGGGAAATAGCTTTGATGGCAAGACTTTTACTCATGCTGCTATGTTATTTATGAAGCTAGCTCATCTTGGAACAGTTCCAAAGACTGGAAGCAGGAGAAAACAGCTAACCTGTTTTTGTCCAAAGTTTAAAAAAATACACCTACCAACATCTTTAAAGCTCAGTAATCAAATTAAGGCTTTGTATTTGTGGCTTAAGTCATTAACAAAGAGTTGCTCTACATTGCTTTCCGTAGCAATGTTAGCCTTCTACCTAGCTGGAGTCAGGCTAACTGTTTTCACTCTTTATGCTAAGCTAAGCTAGTCGTCTTGTGGTGCTAGCTCCATACTTAAAGGGTAATTCTGGTTCATTTCAACCTGTTTTATTTCTCATCCCTGTGGCTATTGTCTCTCCATGGGTCATGCTAGCTTTGCACTCTGTACTTCTGTTGTAGAGATTTGATGACGACTGCACAGTTTCCCTAAGAACATGGCTTTTACGTGACTCATTTTAAACATTCCTTTCAGTCTTTGCTTACAGAGACAGAAGGTAAACACAGAAATTAGCCACCTGGAATGGACATTTTGCTAACTGCATTGGGAGTCTCCATCCGTGGATACCTGCCATCTGACCTAATCACTCGGCAGCTGGTTTACATATGTAAGGCGAACTTTCAATAAACTCGACAGCTAAATGGAATTGATGGATTTACCCACTGAACTAGCTTTCGGACAATCACAAGTCGTTTCACTTTGATATCTGGCTGTATTTATTTGAGTTGGAGTCAACAGACAAGGAGCTGAGACAAATGGAAGGTAAGACGTGGAGATAGAAAGACAATGTAGCTCTGGGAACTGATGGTATTCCTGCAATTACTGCTCTGCTGCAGACTAAAGAGGAAAATGTTGCTGCGAAAATGCCCAGCTGGGGAACTACACCTAATTTGCAGCTGTTGTGTGTATTCTATATATCTTGAAGGCTGTTCAACTTCTTGTTTCCTTGAGTCTCTACAACAGAGGTGGAGATTGCAAAGCTAGCACGACATGAGAGATCAGTATCACCCTTATCTAACACTTGGCAAGAAAGTGCGTACAGATATTTCCCAAAATGTCAAATTGTTTCTTTAAAATCTCAAATAGCAGCATTATTGTAGGGAAATCTTGACTTTACCCTGCTGACATCAGGTTGTAAATACCACATGAAGTACTGTATGTTTGATAGGATCGATGAGGCTCAGCCAGCAAGTCCAAACCTCCAGTTTCCCTTTCGATTGTCACGATGGACAAATCAGGTCTAAATCAGCAAAGACGTCTTCTAATGTGTTCTTAGTTTTGGCTACACAGGATTCAAACGTGGGTGCAAAAGAACATAAAGTAAGACTCCAGTATAAAAAAAAAATTCCTTTTGCATCTTGATCTCATAGAAGAAAGTTATACCAAAGTTCATATAAAATCGTATGTACAATTTTGTCATAAATTTTAGACATCATCCCTTCATAAACCATTCGAATACAAAACAATACAGACTATAAATAGACAATACTTTTTACAGAAGGCACAGTTAGTAGTGGTGTATATGTTTCTCTCATAGCTGCTGCTCCTCAAACAGTATCTGAGCGTAGACTGTGCCGCTACGTGACGCCTTGGCCTCCGGAATCGGCTTCACCAGATCCAGTTCCGCGTACGTCAGATTCTCCTCCACTATCTTCGGCTAGACGTGGAAGAGAAAGAAGGAAGGGAAGAGAAAAATAATGATGGAGGAGAGTGGGGGAGAGGGAGTCAGTGGTGAGAAAAGGAAGGTTGAGAAAAGACGTTTATGTAAAACTCCATTAAGCTAATTACAGGGCTGAAGATGCTGTAGATTTACTGGCTAAATCATTGGGTTTGGTAAATGTGAGCAGGCTGTGTGCGGACGCCACCTTGCAGAAGTTCTCGGTTGAGGTTGCCAAAAATTCAAATACCTCTTGTGGCATTGTGTGCCATTAAAATGCCAAGTTGCCACAGAGGCACTTCATTTCACTGACAATTACAACATTAAACTTAGGCTATGGGGCACATTTCATGACATTTTCTGGCACTTTTGCTAACAGACATTCCTGTAACATGTTGGTTCCTTTTCATTATATTTGCGACAGTAACGATGACTGTCTCTGTGAAGGCCTTGCATGGTATGGTAAATTTCAAACAAAATGCTGTTAGAGAGGTTTTCTCCAAATTGGAATATACTACGCTTATAAACAACTTGTGTACCTATGAATAAAACTGGCGACAAGATGGTTGAAAGCAAGCAAAAATGACAAAGGACATGGATGGTACTCACCAACACTACTTTCCTTGGTTGGGGTTTTAAAAGTTTGGGTTTGCGTGTTTTGTCTCCAATGGGAGCTGCAGGGACAAAACAAAAGTTAGTGGTTTTGAATGTATATATTTATGTGTACAACAAGAACCAGACTTCTTCATCGCAACCACAAACTTGAAAGAAACTTTTATCTACACAATGTTTGTGTAGTGAGTTCAGTAACAGGAAGTCTTTGAAGGGACCCTTACTGGTTTTGAGATTTAAAATTCAATCCTGTTTCATTGTAGTGGTTAGTTGTCTGAAGGAAGTCCAGAAAGTTCAATCGTATTTAGCTTGAAGTGGCATTGAATCTTCATTTATTTACTCAATGGATCAGGTAACAATGTGTCATGTAGACGGGGTTGTCTCGTGCAATGCGATGAACCCACAAAGAATGATCCCCTGACTTTGAAACTCCTCTCAGCTTTGCAGTGTTTTTGCATCTTTCAGCTCAATGTTCTGGTTTTATGGTTTGCAACCAAAGGATAATAATAATAGTACTAATAGTCTGATGTTTTGGAAAATACACTTGTTTACTCTCTTACTGCCGATGAGATGAGGACATTGAGACCACTGTTATGTTTGTATGGTAAATATAAAGTTTGCTTCGCATGGAGACTGGAAACAGTGGTAAGCAGTCAGCTTAGCTCTGTTCTTTCAGTAACATTATCCATCTATAGCAAGATCTTTCAACATTTAGCAGCTAAACTGAATATGTATGACAGATGTCCCTAATTTATTGGAAGAAGAACATCCACAACTCCAACTGCGTATATCTGCAACTGAATTATGACTTGTTGTGATTCCAGTATCAAATTTCTACACTAGTCAATTCAAGATATCTAAATTAAGTTTAAATTTGTCAGATTGATGGTGATAGTTTGAACCGGAATCATGACTAGTCAAAGTTTAATTAAAGATATCTTAAATAACAATCTGAGTAGGTGCAATGATGTTGCAAGTATCTTTAGCTACAGCAAAAGGGAGGTGAAGGCGGGGGCTGCTTGTTTTTTAAACTTACTATGGCACTGCAACCATGTCAGGTAGTCTCCTAGTTAGTTTTGACCAGAAATCTCTAATGAATGAAGCTCTTGTTCTCCACACCTCCTTGCTGATGAGCTCTTCCTACATCACAACATTTTCTGACAGTTTTATCTATCGCAGCAACCGCCATTACCTCCACAAACGCTGTTCAAGATAACCCTAACCCTAACCCTAAGCCTCGCATGAGCAGCATCGTAATCCCTGACTCTTTACAGTGACGTTTGAAATATCAGCATGTTATTTTGACCAGTCTAAGCTGAATTACAGATGCTAACTGTCATTTTGACTAGTTAGCTCAGATTGCTTTTATCTGTAATTTTAATTCTCAGTTGTCTAACCCAACTGTTAAATGTAAAAATAGCTTGTCATACGTCTGTGAACTGATGACCAATTGGTGAGTTTTTAAAGCTAATAAATGCCGCGATGTGCTGGATGTGTTATCTTGCACTAACAAACCCAGAACAACTGTTAGCGGTTTAATGGTTGTTGTGTTAACAGTTTGCTCTGCTGCCCCCAAGTGGCCAAGAATTTAATTTAAAGTAATTAGCCTAAAATTTTCAACCACTCAAACCACAGCGTTCTCACTGGCATTTTTAAATGGCAGTCTCGTCAGGAGGAGCGGGACGTGATTAAGATGGTACTGAATTGGTAGTGACTTTAAAAGTGTTTTTTTGCCTTCAGTGGGAAAAGATGATGCATTGCATTCCACTTACTAATTAAGAAGTACATTTGGTGTGACTGAGCTGTGGTTCAACAGTGAGTGTCAACTTAAGGAAGCAGCGTCATAACTCAACATCTTATATATGGAATATAACTAATGCCAGCATGTATTCATGTCTGGAGCCATGCAGAACAAAATGAGTTTTGGACTGATGCCTGTATTCAACTATTTCTATTTTTGTTCTTCTCACACACACAAAAAAAGAATCAGTGAAATAAAATACCATGTAAGGGATTGTAATCAGACTCATTCTGAATGTTCACTGTGGAAAAAAATGCATCAGAGGGAACTTTTCCAACATATTCCAGTACATGTGAATGCACCACAGACTCGTGTTTACCTTTTGCTGGTATCTCCGGTGGTATCTCCTCCTGGTAGTCTCTGCTCCTTTTCTTCCTGTACCTCCTCTCCTTTTTAGGTAGAGCAGGAGACACACTGACCACACTGGTGACCGTCTCTCCTGAGCTGGAGTGGAACCAGATTAGCAGAGATTCAGGACATGTGGGTGTTTGATAGCTTTTATTTGGCGGAACTTTGTTTGGAGTATAGTTGTATTGCCCTAAAATCTCACCTGTTCTGAGGGCTTTTGACCAAGTGGTAATTATCTGCGGAGATATGCAACATATTAGAGTTTCTAGTTTGAGGAAGCCAGTGAAGTCATAGAGAAAAGGATGGTGGAGACAAGAACATGGGGTAAATAAAGAGGAGACCGGTGTCGATGTTGCTGCTGACCTTTTAGCCTCTGTTTCCTCTGTATGTACTGGCAGGTGACGGTCACGGTGAACATGCACATGCACAGCAGACCCACTGAGCAGATCAGCACCGCACACAGGTACACATCTGAAACAAACACATCAGTACAAGACGACATCAGCCTGCTGCTTCACAAAAATTATGAAGGAAAAAAATTGAGTACATGTTTCGCTGAGCTATTTTAAGACACTGGAGTGTATCCTTTGGGTTTGGCTTTTCTTTTTTTTTGACTGTCCACCACAAACGCACACACACACTCAGACAAGCTAAAAATATCCCGACTTACCTTCAAACAAGCTCCAGAGGCTTTCTTTGGCCTTGGTGGCCGGTAGGACATGCACTACACAGAAAAAGAAAGAGAGAAGAGAAACACGTGAAGTCTGTAGTCATCACTGTGGCTTCCCTGCCGCCTGATTACATGCTGGCTAGAGTTTAAATAAAGCCAACTGTAGGAAGACAAGAAGCCTTAGTTGGCCTCCCCGCCCTGCCCGATTGTGTCTCTGATTCACAGGGTTTAACCTTTTCTGCGAGAGTTGGATAAATATCTCATTAACTCAGGCATTAGTGCAAACAGTTGGTTTAGAGTTATGCCCCGTCATAAACTTTTACCTCACAGTCAGCCATACTCTGACCGTAACCTTCTCTTTCACGTTTATAACAAACTCTTGTGGTAGAAAAGAGTAACCTGTGCACGAAAAGGTTCTACCTCAGACTTGCTTGTTCTCTCACTTGACTTGTTTGATGTTTAGTTAACGTTCTAAAACCAGAGTTTACGTTGACAATGGATAAAACATCTGGCACCACAGCAGCTTAGCTAGCTGGTGTTATGACGTAGTCACACAATCCTAGAACAGCTTCATAAGGTGTACGTGGTGTGTTTAAAGTTCAGATTTTGACCTGAGTTGCAGTCATCTTTTCGGGTTCATACAGTAGTGGAACCACTTCTTTAGAAGAATGATAGATGTTAAAAAAAATAACTTGAATTTCTACAACGGTGTAACAAACCCAATCTCATATGAAAGCAGACTCAAAAAAAAAGCTAACTGCCATTATCTTTCAGAGATGACTATAAAGGAATTGCATTGTTTAGCTTAGCATCATTATTTGGAATAAACAGCCAACCAGGATAAAACAAGAACAACAAATCTGGATGACAGGTTAACCATTGACCCAAATGTAGTTTGTTCAGAGGCCTATCGTACATTCACCTTTATTGGGAGCTCAGAAGTTTTAAAATTGACCCTTTTTGAATGAGATTGTTGTTTCACCAAGTCAGTTGAAGCTTTATTTGCTGGTTTCAGTCACTTACTTTAAAAAACGGGAGCAGGCAAGAAGAAATTAATAGAATGTGCGGCAAATCTGTAAAAAGCCCCAATGAAAGCCCAGTCATCCTTGCCCACTTTTCTCTTCATCATTAGTCTCTCCATAAACGGTTTACTCAACATCCCCCGATGCTGTCAGCAGAGACGAACCGTTACACCCCAAAAATCATATGTGAGGCCTGTGAATCCTGTCTAATGAGAATCCCAGCTATGTGCCGTCTGCATCCTGAACGACGGAGAAAATACCTTTCCCATACTTAAAATCTCGCCCCACACGCTCACTCATTTCTCCACCCCATCTGACCGCGGGAGTCTTAACACCTCTGTACTCTTGCTGAGCTGGTGGTAGGAAGCTCGTGAAGTGACACCCACCAGCGCATCTTGAAATACCCCAAACCGCCAGCAGCTGACGACGGGCAGGCTCGCCACCACGCCTGCTGGAGACTTTCCCACAGGCAGACTGGCGGACTTACAAACCAGCAAGCATGGCAGCAAGCATGCCTGAAATAATCCAGAAACTACAATGTCTGGAGGTAAATGGAAGCAAGAGAGGGTTTTTTCTATTATGTAGAAATTAAAGAAGTGGATGCACATTGAAAGATAAGAACTGAACTGAAAACAATCACAACTTTCACTGGTGGATGAGCCTGGATTTACAGCCGGTGCCATAAAGCAGAGTCTGAGCAGCCTATGTGAGAATTGGAAGCTGTCGGACGTCACATAAAGCTGTGGAATGTTTACTGCAAAGCCTCGCGTTCTGAGAAACTAAGAATAAATCCTCGAGAGGAGTTTCTGCAAAATGCTGTGTCATGCTTTCTTGTAGGGTAACATTTATTAAAGTACGAACCCAGCAATAACAGGATAACATTATACACAACAGCAGACGGCATGCATGTCTTTCACCTGCACACAGAGCCCAATATTAAGTACACAACTGTAGAGAATGACATGCATTAAGCAGCAGCAGTGTGAGTGTTGTGCCTAAATCCTATTCAGCTGATTTATACTGATGTCAAGCACACATGGGTTAATTTTACTTGGAACTGCAATAAGCTCAGTGGTGTCATTTAGACTCCCACAACTAAAATGCTTTTATATGAACAATTGTCCTCAAACTGAAATTACTTTGGGAATGAGTTCCCATCTGTGAAACCGCTAACCCTACACTGACCATATGTGACCTACATTCTTCTGTTTGGAAACAATTCTCTTAATCATTTTTAAAGGGAAGATTGGATTACCGTTGAATTATTGCGTAAGCGTTCACTTTGTAAATATAAGAAGGTTCGCAGGTGGAATGGCTTGGAACTAAGGCTCCTGCTAAATATCACCTTAAGTATAAACCTGTGATAAAATAATAGAATTAAGTTGATGCGTCACTGTCACTTACTCGTGTTCGCTTAATAGAAGGAAAGAGTCTTTTCTCATATCGCAGAGATGTGAGACAAGACTTGACCTGATAAATATTAGCCTCTGTTGAAGGGTGTTGGCGTTCTGTTTCATGGGAACATTCAAAAGCAGCACAAAAGGCTGCTACTGTTCTTCTGTGAAGTACTGTTTGGGCTGGTTTTCTTCAGCTTTGCTCATGTCTCCGTAATAATACTTCTTCAAAAGCATGAAAGAAAGATCTTGAGGGATTTGTTGTGGTATGTGGACATATGTGAGGTTTAACGTTATGTTAATTGACAATTCATCTCAGGTGATGTACGCAACAGTAATGTAACCAGTAGTGTGATAAATTACTGTCAACAGGGAGTAAATATGTTTTTGAGTAGTGACCCCAACACTGTAGTAAGATGTCAGAAAGAATCGGATGTCATTTGGAAATCAAACTGAGATGTGCGTCTTTAACAATGATTTATTGGTGTTACTGGAAGCAGTCAGTAACTACATTGTAGTTTGTAATTTGCTAAGGTCGTGTAAAAGGCAGATTTTATATGATAACACCAGAGTTTTTCTCTATTGTCACCACTACTCGTGGGAATAGAAACCAACCAACGCATGTATACTAAACTATCTGTGGTAAAACAGCAGCAAATACGCTAGTGAGCCCAGCCACACTTTCGCTGCACAGTTTCTGTGTGAGCGATTTAAACCAGACTCTCTCCGATTGTTTCCAATGACAGATGATTTAATGTAAAGACCCGCCCTTCCGTCATAGTGAATTATTCACAGCTTAAATCTTGGGAGCATCTCTGACATTCATGTGGTGTTCTTGCCTCAGGTTCTGTGTAGCTCTGTCAGCGCAGCAGCTGTACATGCTGGAATAATTAGAAATTGGATAAATCTGTTGCGCTGTGTGCCATGAAACTGCCTTTCATCCCTCGTCTCCAAAATGTCTTCTTTTTAGTGCAACTTTTGAATGGCTGACGGCGGAATACAGTGGAAACATTCATCAAACTCCTTTTTTGTCCGTCAGAGGCACAGAGTTGCATTCAGTTCCTGACTGTATTTTAAACTTGTGACTCTTTCTTTTTTTGTGCCCCAACAAACCGAACACTGTAAACATCAGTACACAGACGTGGACTGGCCTGAATAATGATCCTCTGTGACTGAATCGGCCACTGCTCTAATGTGCTGTATTCTAAATGACTGGAGATGAATGTAAGCACACAACCGCGCTGTGTGTCCTAACAAAGCTTTGAATAATTCACCCTTTAGCTTCCGGTTGTCTCTTTGCGTCTTCTGGGAATCAGCGTCTTTCTGCACACTTGTTCACTGTGTCCTCTTTATAGACATAAACATAGACTTATTTTGTTGGCTTCTTAGTCATACGTCCCATTTTTCATACAGAAAAAGCTCTAAGGACATGTTTGTGGTTCTAATTTTCATTTTTCCTCGTGGACTTCTTGCTATACTTAAATCCACGCCACATCCGTGTGCCATGTACCTCGCAGGAACACCCTTGTTAGCTCCCGATCGCCCACACGTGTTATAGAAATACCTAAAAGTTCAGTTTGTTTATGCCAAGAGGAGGCTGTGTCCACACTGTGCGCTGCCCTCAGCTTCTCTAGCAAAACCCTCTGACCTCTCTGGATGTGTTTATTGTAGCAGTAGTAAGTAGAGTAATGGGGGTTTTGCGAGTCTGAGACGGATTGTGGAAACACCTGGTCACCTGATGTTATCCCAACGCAAGAATTCCAATCGTGTGATGTCAGAGAAACACTCATAAAGTGTCAGTTATCTGCTGGGTCTCGTCCAAAGTGGGGACCAGGAGCGATGGTCCCGCGGGTGGCTTTAACCCCTCCAATGTGTAGCTCACGTTTATCATAGCTGTCAACACGTAGTGTGGACGCTGGAAAGAAATTCCACTCCCTGCTGGTCTACTGGACAGAAATACGGCTGTTATTCTGGTGTTTTTAGAGCTTTGGCATGTCGCTGGTATTTATTGTAATTACCCACCACAGATCCGGGACTGCATGCTGGTTGTCTAAAGCTATTGATCACTCTTTACTCGAACGGTGGTCTGATAGCTGTCCTGTTTTTGAACATTATTGTTCGTGTTAATTTTAGAAGGGAAAAAGTATGTTTACCCCAATTTTATATGGCTTTGTGTATAAAGGATCAACAAAAATGCCACTATTTGCCCAAGTCTACAGTAAACAAGATGCTCTTGACTTCAGAAAATGCAGAAACACGGGAAGAGAAGCACCAGTGGCAAGTAAACACACTTACTCAAGTACTGCACTCAGAATTAGGGTTAGTATTTAGTTCCATATCAAGTGTGTATGAGAAAATAGGATGTTCTTTCACATCAACAGCTTGTTGTCAAGTTCTACACAAGTCTGTTAATGATCCATTCATTTGAGTCAGGTGTGATGCAGTACAGAAACGTCTAAAGCCTGCTGGACAGTAGGTCATGAGGATTGGAGTTGGAGATCTCTGTCCTAGGAGCAGTGATGTAAGGTAACTAAGTACATTTACTCATGTGCTGTATTTATTTTGAGGTACTTGAACTTTCCATGAGTGTTTTTATGGTACTTTATACTTCCACTCTACTACCTCTCTGAGGGAAATG